TCCGCACCTTCTACGCTGCCAGCATCCGCAGTCTTTCGCTTTTTCTTCCGCTTCTCATCACGCTTTAGCTTGCGTACGAGAGTCTCTAGCAGGGCATTGGTCTGTGCCAATTGTCCTTCTAGAACGTCCAATCGAGCCTTGGACGACCGAACCTCACCACCAGACTCCTGTTTGGAAGTTGCCTCACTGGAGTCCTCCTCATGCAAGGATTCCTCATCCATAGCCTCCTGTTCGACCGGAGGCTCCAGCTCTAGAGGAGGTTCCGTCTTTGCTTGGGTTCGCTTACGTCCTACCCTTGCCATCTCCCAGCAATCCGCCTCTATCCTTCGCTAGAACTGAGGAAGAGGCTCCGATACCAAATTGTAAGCCACAAATTTTTCCTTTCCAATTTGCCAGCTTATCTCGTCTATCCGACCAACTCTGCATTGGCTTGTGCTAAGTTCCCTCGCCAAGGTTCCCGCCTATGGTACCAGCTCCTACTTGGTCCTACTTGGTTTCAGCTACTCACTGCACAAGCAACGGAGTGTTAGCCATCCATTTACGGATTCCCAAATCTCTCCCAATCCCCCTCTCCGGGTTAGACTGGACTTAAGGTTTAGCTACACTCCCCACAGGCACAAGCAGCCAAGCACACCAAGCCTCCAGATTCCTAATACCCCTTGGTACCACAAGACTTGATCATGGGACCCTCTAAATCCCAAGTCTTGGGTGTAGCACTTGCTTCGGGACGTCGGGGCGAAACACCGTGGCCTAACGGCCTGGTATGGGTACCTCTACCCCCCCACTTCCATCCCGAAGGGAAGGCCCAAGCCCCTAGGGAGGGCGAGGACCAATGAGCCACAAGGTACTCAAGTGGGGCACCACTCCACATGAGCCGGGAGCACCGCAGTCGGTTTCCCTTTCGGGAGTGGGAGCTGCTCTTGAGCACTTCCCTGGGTGGCCCCTCCGGCACCACTCAAGCCCATGCTCACTCCCACCCAAGGCCCCTCGGCCCCAATCTCAACCTCAAGTTAGTTTGGAAGCACCACTGGAAAGTTCCTCCAAAAGGGGTTCCAAAACCCCCAAACCCCTACAAAATTTTGGGAACCCCGGGAAGCCCCCCCCCCCCCCCCCCCCCCCGGGAGACGCATGCTTTGGGCTTTCACCCCTTGACCCGTATTAGTATTTGGACTTACTCTCTGGCTCGATCTCGGACCCGATTTCAGATCCGACTTCGGATTCGGTCTCGGACTCGATCTCGGACTCGATCTCGGACCCGATCTCGGACCCGACCTCGGACTTGACCTCGGACTCGGTCTCGGACCCGATTTCGGATCTCGGACTCCGTCTCGAACTCGGTCTCGAACTTGGACTCAAACTCGGTCCCCGAGTCGGTCTCGGACTCGATTCTGGACTCTATCTCGAACTCGGTCCTAGAGTCGGTCTTGGACTCGATCCTCGACTTGGTCCCATCCGATGAACTCTTTGTCATTTCGGTCAAGCTTTTGGGGATCCTTTAGCTTATGACATCTCGGGGAGTCGGTTCCTTACAGTATGCTCACCTTATAATCCCACATACTAGGATTAATGTTGTTACATATGGGCCTTTATATGCCCATCACTAGCCTTGCCAAAATTCCATTTTTGGCTTTATCCAATTCGGATAGACGGACTTCTTTCGTCTTTGCAACCTTGGACATTTGGATAACACCTTCTATTCATCATTTGCTAGGGATTTAGTCCCTTGAGCCTTATCTATTGCCCTCGCGACATCAAACACCACCTCCAGGTGTTCTAGACTGTTTAGATGTCCCAATGATGGCCTCTTTGACAATGAGCATTGACTCACTATATCATAACATAAGCAATTTATCTTCTATAAGGGTATATCTAACTTCCTTATCCCAGAAGTCTTAGGTAGCTACCTTCTACCAGTTTAACCAATTATTTTGCACATTTTGCTTAATTGCCTTATAGTTGTTAAGTTCTACAACTCATTGCTTGGTGCTTCCACACCTCTATCATTATTTGGGTCACCACACTCCAACTACATGCCTTCCAGCTTAGGCTATGCCATTCCTATTTCCATTAGAATTCTTGGGATTCCCTTGGTAAGGGGTTCTCATGAACCCACCAACATAACCTCAAAGTATCACACCTTGGCACATTTGGTGTCTCCACACCATTGGCTCCATGAGCCTATCTTTATGACATTACTTATTAGTGTCTAAGTCTTTGCCAAGACTAATACAATGTTTCTCATGCCAACCATTCGTTAGCATTACACCATAGTGTTCACACACAACTCTATGCCAAAGTTGCTTTCTTTTGGGGGAACACTTTTCTTACGACTTTAGCATGGCACATTCTACCATTGATGAAATACCCTTTGTTCTCATACTTGGATCTTATGATCCCCCCCATCCTTTATGGGGTACAACACACCTCAGTCCAAATGTTGCTATCAATCCTTTAGGATTATTCTTTGACTCTTGTTTGAGTCATCCAGCTTTTTGGACTTCATCATCTGACAACCCGTGATGTCTTACCTTTGAGGTGCCAATTCACTGGAATACAACTTTTTGTATTTAGGTCCTACTCACAAGAACCATCTTTGCAAGTGCTACTTCGACACTTGATTTGTTCTCTTGGGGCAACCTTTTGCCCCCTTAGGACCACTTGTCCATGTGATGAGAATACCAACTCATCCTTTAAGTACATCCTCAACTCCTTAGGTTGTTCCAGCATTTATCAAGGGTAGCCTCAGCTACCATTTCGAGGACTTGTGTCCTCTCCTGTATTTGACCTCCCATGGTCATCAATTCCGGTCTCAAAGTTATGAGCACTAGCCTCAACTATATGAGGGTAATCTTGTGACTCCTTTATTGTTTTGGAGTATGCATCTTTCCTGTGATCCCAACTATAGTTGTTTACCACAACTATGTTAGCCCATTTGCTGTGTCAAACGCTCATCTGGATCACATCCTCACTCAATGAGGAAAGCCTTACACTGTTCCCAAGATCCCAAAGTCGTTCCCTTATTGGCACTTTTCCATCCACCACATCATGCATAAGTTCACGCATGAACTTGAGTGGAGAGCAATGTCCTCTTGACATGCTACTCCTTGAGGATAGGTCCATATTTAGGACCTTCTAATTCCAATACAAGTGGTGATATACTTGGCCACCAATAAGAATCGAACTAAGGAATAGCTCCAATACCAAATTGTAAGTGACTAATTTTTCCATTCTACTTTAGCCACTTAACCACACCTTCAACCACTTGGAGGAGTCTCACTCACAACCTTTATAAGTTCTATTTCAGACTTGGGTTTGCTAGCCCCGAGAATGGCATCCCTGCCACTTAACCTTTTCACTTGGTCCAAGTGATTCATGTGTCCGATCCCATGACCGACACTCAAAGGTACCACTGACATAGCAGCCTGTTACGCTAAGGCCATGCCCAATCACCTTTGTTACACTAGTGGTCTAATACCACTTGCATCATAGTCCTACCACTCCAAGACTGGGCCAACCATCCATGAGTGGTCATCACAGATCCACTCCTTAACATCTTTCGGATGCCCACCGACAAGGAGAACAACCTTCCCCAATATCCCTCTTTCAGTCCCAACCAAATCCCATCCTACCCTTGGCCATATTCACCAACACTGCCACTGGATCAAGGCCCACAGGCTCGACCACTAAGTCCCAATGCCCTCTGGGACTTCCTCACCATGTGATTATGTCCTTAGTCACTATGCCAAAGGTCTACTCCTCTTACTTTCCACAGTCTGGGACTTTGGAACAACATTTCGGAACACCGTGGTTTTACACAAGCCACCTGAGTACTCTCCCTGCCTTCCGCCCTTGGGTGCTTGGCTTTTCTACGCAGTAGATCAATCTGCCTAGGCAGGACTTTATCAAGATGCTACATAACATGAGTCGTGGCAATTCGTTGCTCTGGTTTACACCTGAGCATCTGATCAGGACCAGGACAAAGTACTAGGAAGGTCAAGGCAAAGTGGATTGAAACATTTCTTCCTCTTTTCACAGTAAAGACGTCCATTTCCATTCTGCACCCATGAAAACGATTCCTGACGAAGACTTTCCAACAGAGTTCCATCCCTGGCTGTTTAAATCTCCCTGCCATTGAAATTTCATCCAGAGTGTCCTCCTCCCGAGACTGTCCAAATGGTCCTTTAGATTTTGTCTTTGCATTCTTTCGATAGCTTATTGTCTCTGGAATTCCCAACGATAAGAGGGTAAGAAAAGAATGTCGTGGTTGCGGTCAATAGAATATTGGTGGTCAGCCTGTCAATCAAGGTAAAAATACTGAAAGTTTCTAGCAATATAACAATCGATGTTCCTACAGTTGCAAAAAATTCGAGCTACATTGAAGTTAAATCAGAAGACAAAGAATGTCAAAATTATACCTGTCTCATTTTTTTCACCAGGCAAAGTGGAGCGACAATGAAGACGACAGACAAGATCATAAGCACACGCCTGCTACCTATTAGCATTCCCAATGAGCAGAACCACTATGCTCATTTCGGTAGCAAGCTGTGAAAAAAAAGAAAAGAGAGAAAGCTTTTAGAAACTTGAAAAAAGAGAGAATCTTCCACCACTTCCCACCAATGTGGAAAGCAAGAGACTCATATTGAGAATTATGCCACAACGAGCATTATCAGGAAGCCGCAGACAATTCCTGTGGTACTGAATGCATTTGAGAAGGACCGCTCTGCAAGCCGAAGAAAAAAGATCAACTTTACCCTCCCATGATTCTGACTGAGTGTGACGATGCCGCTGAAGAGAGTATGTCGATACTCACTCCTCCGCAGAAGGTAGTGAATCGTTGGTGAAGACGATTTGGGAATTTCGTCCTTGACTTGACGCTGAGGGAGCTCTCTGGATCCGTCCTCTCGAGCTGCTTCACCAGGACTCATTATAGAGATTTCTCCAGACAACCAGGAATTTTTTAAGCGAAACCATTAAAAACGGACGGAAAGAAGACTCGTGCAGGAACTAAGCACCACTGACTTTAGTGGCGTGTGTAGCGAATGTACTTCTTGCGGAAAATCTTGCTCAAGCTCACACAGTGCTAAGACTGGAAGCTAAAGCTGTGAAGCGGCAACTACGAGAGATTCCATACCTTCCACGCCTCCATTGCTGTCCCATGGCGCAGCGATCGATTCCCGAGCCCTAACAAAGAGGGAAGGGAAAATATTCTAGGGCTACGCGGCGATCGCTTCCTCTCACGATGCTCATCTCGGAGGTACTTAGTGATCCAGGGATCCAGGGATGAGGCTACTGTGAATCCGCTGCGGAGAATCGAGCGCCTCGTTTGCAACATCGAGCAGACTTCTCCGAACTCCAAGAATGCGTGCTTGGCCTCAAATCCGAGCTCTCCGAGGAGCAGCGGCTGCAAATCTGGAAGCTGAGCTACCGGATCTGGAACACCTGCGTGGATATCGCCAACAGCATCCAGCAGCAGCAGCAGCAGCAGCCGCCAGGCCGCGCAGCGGTGGATTCCTCGGCGGAATACCACGCTCGGCTTCGTCAGATCGCGAGCGAGATGCTCTTCTTGGCATCTACCCGGTGGAGCACTCTCAAGATGGCCAGGTTTGTATGAAATGAAGATGCTCCGTCTTGATTCTCGTGCGAACCTGTGCGTGATCTCTTTATGGGTGCTGGTTTGTTTGCTCGAGGTAAAACGAGGCTTGTTGCTTTGGTACTATGATTCTGTCTGTTCGTTTTCCAGGTTGAACTGGAGTACTGCCAACATGACACTGATCATGAAAGATGGACTCTTTGCATTGTTCCAAAGCTTGGTTAATTTGAGATTTGGTTATTGCAGAGGTCCTCATCTTCTAAAAAACTTCCCATTAAAACTTTGCAATTTTTCGAAGGCGTTCCGAGAGGTGCTCTTGAGAGACGGATGTGTTTCTCAAGCATAAGTACTCCAAGGATGGATAGAAGGAGCTGTCCTCAGAATCTGCAGAGGGTAACATGTTGATCTTCTTGCAACCTCCCAGATCAAGCCTCCTTAGCAGAGGAAGCCTTGCAACACCATCGGGTATCCCATCCAAGTTCTTCAAATAAGTTAATCGCAAAGTTCTCAACGTTGTGAGTGATGCAAACCATTCTGGTAGTTGGTCAATACCACAGCGTTTTATTTCCAGCTGCGTCAGCTGTGGGAAGGCATCCATGGAAGCTGTTCAAATCCACCAAGGATTATTTGTTCAAGTCGCGGGAAGTTGCCACCGAATGCAACAACATGGGCATGGATGTGAAGGGAGTCAATTCGAACAACTGTCAGTGATGGGCACTCGGATATGTTGATGGTGGTCACATCGTTGCAGAAATCTAGAGCAAGATGCTCTAGATTTGGAAGGAACGAGATGGAGAGGTCCTTCAAGGAGGGACATTTGGAGATGTTGAGGACCTTGAGTGATGCCAGTTGAGAGATGGTGGGCACCCCAATCAACTTTTCGCATCCCGAAAGGTGGAGTGTTGCCAGCATGGGAAACATTTCCCGTGTTAAGAAAGAAAGCCCTTCAAGGTGGTCATTGTGACAAATATGCAATTCTTGCAAGTTCTCCATGCTCGAGGTTACTTTAAAGCCACTTTGCCCAAAGCGTCTCACTTCCAAAGTTCTCAACCTCGGAAATCTGCTCCAGTCCCAGTCTGACAATGGAAATCCCTTGAGTTTCAATTCCTGCAAGTTCTCCATGGTGGAGGTTACTCTAAAGTCACTTTGCCCAAAGCAACTCACTTCCAATTCCAAAGTTCTCAACCTCGGAAATCTACTCCAGTCCCAGTCTGGCAAAGGAAACTCCAATCCCCAGAGTTTCAATTCCTGCAAGTTCTCCATGCTGCAGGTTACTTTAAAGTCACTTTTCCCAAAGCAGCTCACTTCCAAAGTTCTCAACCTCGGAAATCTGCTCCAGTCCCAGTCTGAGGTCAATGGAAGCTCCAATCCCCAGAGTTTCAAAATCTCAAGGTCGGGCAAGCCTTGAAAGCTGTCACATATTCCCTGTTTCCAACCCTGTATTTCCAACTGTTTCAAATGGGCCAGTTTGCCTGTGCTTGCTGGTAGATCCACAGCCAACCCTGTATGAATAATAAACACCGCCAACTCTGTCAATGCCTGAAACATCCCATCCAGATGGAGTCTTCCAAGCTTTCTGTTTACGCATTTCTGATGTTTCAAAAGCCGATGATGCAGCCTGTGGCATGTCCACATTCTCCGACATCCCCTTCCGTTTAAGTAGACCAGCTTGGTGAGTTTGAGCAAAGCATCCACAGGGAAAGACTTGAGTTTCCTGCAGTTTTCCAGGTTCAAATATGATAAATTCGCCAAGTTGCCCAGTGAATCTGGGATGCTTTTGAGTGAATCATTCCAAGACAAATCCAGCGTTTCCAGAGTCTTCAGCTGTCCAATGCTATGTGGCAAACTTATCAGCCCAGTGTGACTCAGGCACAAAACCTTCAAGCCTTCGAAAAGAGAGAGGCTTGGGAATGCAGTGAGACGGGGATTTTTATCCAAGAGCAGGCAAGTGGTGCTGGAAACTTTGACCCTGTTCTTCTTGGGCAGAGGGATTTCCGAAATTCCACACCCAAACAGTGAAATCCTACTGTAGTTACTCGTGAAAGCGTCCCCCACATCCCTCATCTGCGACTGCCCAGCCTTGAAATAACACTTGGGGACTTCTTTTTCCAGGATGTGCAAAGCAAGAGCCAGCAACGCATCGTGAATCCTGTACCTCTTATAATCCCGCCAGTGGTCTTCTTCAGTGATAAGTGCGTGATTCTTGAGCCTTTCTAGAACATTCGTGGCCTCTGCTATGTTGGCAACCAGCCCTTCCCCTTTCCAACACCTGAACAGCTCCCAAAATCGAATCGGCCAGTCTTCTGGAAATGCAGCAAAGAAGAGAAAGTGCTGCTGGATGCGAAGGGGCAACAATGCATCATAACCCAGCTTGAGTCGCTCCAGTACCTGTTGTTCCTCATCAAGAGCAATAAGTTGTTGATCCTTGAGTTTGCTCAGAACATAGTCCCAATCTTGTGTGGCTGCCATTCTTCTGCCAATTACCTTCAAGACCAATGGAAGCCCCCCACACTTTTCCACAACTTGCTCCACCACTGCCTTGCTGACTTGAGCATGATTTTGGTTTGGGAATGCGTGGACTGCGAACAACTTCATGCTGTCCTCCTTACCCAAGAGCCCCATCTCGGTTTTGATTGCACCTCTACTGTCAAGCACATCACGTTTTCGAGTGCTAATGAAGATCTTGCTTCCATTCTCTTGCACCACATCAAACAGATCCAAATGAATGAACTTCCAGACATCATCCAACACTAGCAAGCATCTCTTCCCAACAAGCCCCCTCCTCAGAGTTTCATTGCTGATCTGATCACCTTCTAGTCGGATTTTTTTGGCAAGTTCGTGTTGCTTTGCTTCCACCTGAGGAGATACAACCATAGCCGCTCAATATGTTACATTATACGCTTGAGGAACGTACCTGAACCGACTGACCGAATGTTAGCCACAAAACTGGATCGAAACGCCCCTTGACTTGATCGTTGTCACATACTCGTTTGGCCAGGAGTGTTTTTCCAGCACCTCCTGCTCCATGGACTCCAATCCACTTTCTGCTTACAGGGGACCCCAGCAAGTTTGATACAACCCGCTCTAGCGTCTCTTCCATACCGAAAATGTGGTCATCCAGAGGAACCACATGCTGTTCTTCCTTTGGAACCACATTAGAGGGCACCTCTTTTGGCTTCTTCAACAAAAGCTCAACGACAAGATGTCGAGGAGCTGCAGCCAAGTGCCCATGGATCGCCTTGGAGCAGTCTTCGATCTTGGTAGCAAGTGTTATCCTGAAACAAAATCACAAACTCAATTCAGAAATATCCCAAGAGAAGCACAACCAACCAACCTCTTTACGCCATCTAGAATGGGATTTTGCAGAGACTGGCATTCAAGAACAAGAGGTTTAGCCTCTTCAACCTTGGCTTGGAGGGCTTTCAGCCAGGAATCCAGTTGTGAGGAGCTCAGAGAGCCCTCGGCAGCAGAATATCTCTTCATTTCACCTAGCAGACCTGATGCTTCGGTCAATGAAACTTCCAACTCGCTGCACTTCTTCTTGCAATGAATGGCAGACTTGGCAAGCGCAATCACTTCTTTAAGAGCTTCAGAAACAAGCGCTCCCAGCACACCCGTGGGATCGAGGCTGGCCATGGATACAAGCTCTGTATTTTGCTTAACAGACTCGTGAATTCTTGGACGACAATCTCGACACCTTTTCAAGGTAAAATGCTGTTTCTTTTTCTTTTCTTTCTTGCACTGAAACTCGCCAGTTCAGACATACAAAATGATGCAAAGTGGGTTCTCTCGCGTGCGCGTTTTCTAATTTTTTAGATGACACCATTAAAAACGGAGGAAAAGAAGACTAAAGCACGACTTAGACTAGTCGCGTGTAACAAGCGTACCTTTCAAAAGAAGAGAAGATCAAATCAATGTCCCACCAAGAGACCATCCATTGCTTTTTTAATGGTCGCATTAGCTGTCAGGCTGTACATGTACTGGCAGTCTTGTTCTCGCATCAAAACTTCTTACACGTGGCAATGTTTAATTCCACCGACAAAACCCAATTACGGGTGGCCACGTGTACATCTTGCCGATTCAAAGTTGAGCGGGAAACTATTCTAGGCTTGGCAGGACTGGACGAGGGATAGCTTGCTGTCAAGATGCTCATCTCGGAGGTGCGTAGTGATCCAGGGATTGGCAATGTGGCTACTGTGAATCTGCTGCAAAGGATCGAACACCTAGCAGGCTTTTTCTCTGAGAATCAATGTTGATATTGCCAAAGAGCTCCAAGAATGTCAAATCTAAGCTTTGAGAGGTGCTGTTAGGATCTTATCCCTTACACCCTAAGCCAACTGGCTAAAGGGGTGATCACTTGATTGTAGTGCCCTTTCTTTATCCTATTATCCTGACCTGGTGCCTAACAATCCTCCCTTTCATCAGGGAATGATTGTCCGCGATCATACTTAGGCCACCATCCGGTCACCATGGTCCTTCTCTTAGGGTTTACCAAACTTTGGTTCTCCCTCTAGATCCACCATGTTGAATATTCCTTCAGAATATTCCTGCCCCACTCGTCAGCCACAAGAATCGAACTGGGCTCCGATACCAATGTTAGGATCCGAGGTGGTGCCGACAATGGTGCCGACGAAGCTGCAGAGATTTGGACCATTCAAGATGTGGTTCATGAGCTGCGAGCCCTTAATAAAAATCAGCAAGAGATGCAAGACGAGATGCATGGCATGATGGATACCATGCGTGGGCGTGTTGAGGCACTCGAGGCTGGACGGGGTAGCGCTCCAAGTAAGCCTTCTTTGGTAGATCGACTCAAGATTCCAACCTTTTCCGGTGATGGTGGTGTGGACGAGTGTCTCGCTTGGCTAGCCAATGTGAAGAAGTTCTTGGCTGCTAGAGGAACTCTAGATGCAGAGGCTTTAGTGGCTATTCCGATGGTTTTGCGTGATGCGGGTCTTCGATGGTGGAATTGGCTTGAGGAGTCCCGTGTTGCGGATAAGAAACCACCGGTGTTTACCATGGATGAGTTTGAGGCTACTTTTCGTTTACGTTTTGCCCCTCATTACGACGTGGAGAATGCTCGTACAGAACTTCGCCATTTCCAGCAAGGGAAAATGACGCTCGGGGACTATATTGAGAAGCTTACTCGCTTGATTAGTCGTGTTCCAACGAAGGATCCAGATCAGAACAAGTCCTACTTCATTGATGGCCTCCATAGTGAGAGTATGCGGCAACACTTGCGTCATTCTCAGCCTACAAAGAGTTTGGAGGAGCTCTTTGATGTGGCTCGTCGCCTTGACAATGACAAGCACAAGTCTCGCAAGCGTTCGCGGAGTCCTTCTGTCGAGAATCGTCGTGATGATCGCCGTGGACACAAGGAGGGGAACAAGCATCACAAGTTGAAGTCGGTGGTGACTACTTCAGATGCAAAGGGGTCCAAGAAGCAGAAGTTCTTTGTGAAGAATTATAGACAGGGTTGTCATCATTGCGGCGAACTTGGACACTACAAGGCTGATTGTCCGCAGTTGAAGAACAAGCAGCAGGACAAGAAGAATGGCCAATCATCTTCTCACGGTAAGTCAGATACTAAAAAGTTGCAAGCTTTACAGCGTGAGGATGACGAGAACGACCATTCCGGTCGGAGGAAGAGACTTTCGATCGTTGCTCGTCAACTCAACTGTGTGTGGAACAAGATGGAGCTCGAGGATACGCGTGAATCAGCTTTAATGCTGGAGGGCGTGTTCCGTGGCGATCCAGTGCGGATTTTACTGGATAGTGGGAGTGATGACAACTTTGTTTCGGCAAAGTTTGTTGCGGAGCATCGCCTGAACACACGTGGAGTTGTTCCATACACAGTGGAAGGTGCAGCTACCTTTGCTCAGCATTTCGATGCTTGTGTCAAGGGGCTGGAAGTGTTGGTTGGCAAAACCACACTTGTGGAGACTTTTTATCTCGCGGATATCCATCGTGTGGATCTCATTCTTGGGATGCCATGGTTGGTGAAGGTGGATCCAGAGATAAAGTGGAGCATTAAGCATATCTCGCTGGAGTATGGTGGCGTTAAAGATGTGTGGTTTGGCGAGGGCGTTCAACCACCAGTTGTTATGCTCTCTACTACATCTTTGAAGCGGGCTTGTCGTAATGGAAAAGCACTTTCAAGTTACTTGCTGTTTGTTCGTGACTTGGGGGACCAAGGCACGTGTGGGGGAGAAGCAGCAGTACGGGATGTACTTGATGAGTTTTCTGATGTTTTTCCATCTGAACTTCCTCATGGATTGCCTCCATTACGAGGTGTGGAGCATGGGATTATATTGGAGCCGGGGACGCGGCCAATTTACCGGCGTCCATTTCGGTTAAGTTATGCGGAGGAGCAAGAAGTTCAACGACAAGTCAAGGAGTTACTTGAGTTTGGATTTATTCAGCCAAGTAAGTCTTCGTTTGGTGCTCCGGTCTTGCTTGTGAAGAAGAAGGACGGTTCAATGTAGATGTGTATTGACTACCGTGCTTTAAACAAGAAGACAATGAAGGACAAGATGCCGATGCCACGTGTGGATGATATCCTAGACAAGCTTGGTGAAGCACAAGTGTTTACCAAGATTGATCTGAGGAGTGGATATCATCAGATTGCAATGGATGATGCATCTATCTCCAAGACGGCATTCAACACAAGCTTTGGACATTTTGAGTTTACCGTTATGCCGTTTGGTTTGACGAATGCACCGGCCACATTTACTCGGTTGATGACGGAGGTATTTGGGCATTATCTTCATGAGTTTGTGGAGATTTTCTTGGATTATATTCTTGTTTTTAGCAAGAATATGGAGGAGCATAGGGTGCATTTGCGCAAGGTTCTTTCGTTACTTCGAGACAGCAAACTTTATGCGAAGAAGAGCAAATGTGAATTTGCAAAGTCGGAGGTGGAATATCTAGGCCATATTGTGACATCTAAGGGTGTCAAGACGGATCCAAGGAAGGTGGCTGTGGTGGAAAACTGGCCTACACCGACTACAGTGGCCGAGTTGCGCAGTTTTCTTGGTATGGCTAGTTACTACCGACGTTTCCAGCATAAGTTTGCAGAGGTGGCTATTCCGTTGACGCGGTTGTTACGCAAGAATGTGCCATTCGAGTGGAAGACGCCACAAGAGGAGAGTTTTGTGGCGCTGAAACGATTGTTGATCGAGGCTCCAGTGCTTCGCATTGCTGATCCATCGAAACCTTACGAGGTGACATGCGATGCGAGTGGTTATGCACTGGGAGGAGTTCTCATGCAAGAGGGACAGCCTATTGCATATGAGAGTCGAACTTTGAATTCCGCGGAGCAACGCTATTCCACATATGAGCAAGAGTTACTCTCTATTGTTCATGCTTTGCGGACGTGGCGGCACTATCTTTATGGTGCAGTGTTCGTGGTGTTGACAGATCACAAACCACTTGTGTATCTTTTCACACAGAAGGAGTTGAACACTAGGCAAGCTCGTTGGATGGTCAAACTCATGGAGTTTGGGGAGTTTCCTATTGAGCATCGTCCGGGAAAATCAAATGTGGTGGCGGATGCTTTATCTCGTGTTCGTCATGTGACGACGTTACGAACACGATTTTGTCATCATTTGAGTAAGGTGGTCAGCGAGTTTGGGCAGTTGGTTGAGCATGCTCAGGCTCAGGATGCTGAGGTGGCCTCTTTGCGAGACCAGATGGAAGCTCCTTTCTCATTGGTGGATGGGATTCTCTACTACAATGGCTGTGTCTATTTGCCACGGGTGGATGCGTTAATTACTCAAGTTTTATTCCACTATCATGATCGTCCAGAGGCCGGTCATTTTGGGGGGAAGAAGACGTATGAGTTGATTAAGCGCAACTTTTATTGGAGGAATATGAAGGCTGATATCCTCAAGTATTGTAAATCATGCGAGCTTTGTCAGCGGGTTAAGGTGCCACGGGAGAAGCCGGGGGGACTTTTGCAACCTTTACCTATTCCTCAGAGCCGTTGGTGTAGTATCTCTATGGACTTCATCACTTGTTTGCCACGAACACAAAGGCAAAAGGAGCAAGTATGGGTCATAGTGGATCGGTTGACGAAGTATGTGCGGTTGTTGGCTCTTCGGAAGACTGTCACTGCCTCAGACTTGGCTGCGGTTTACTTGGAGAAGGTTTTTCCTGATTTTGGTTTGCCGGAGAACATCATTAGTGATCGAGATTCAAAGTTCACTAGTGGATTTTGGAAAAGCTTTGCAAAGGCTATGCAAGTGACTTTGAAACTCTCGAGTGGAGATCATCCTCAGACGGATGGGCAAACTGAGCGTGTGAATCAGGTGGTGGAGGATATGCTACGTTGTAGCATTGGTCAAAGGCAAGGACAGTGGGATTTATATCTTCCGTTGGTGCAATTTGCTTACAACAATAGCCAACACAGTGGAACCAAACTAAGTCCTTACTTTGCCATGTTTGGAAGGCATCCTCGAACAGCGGTGGAGTTGGGATTGCATTTGAGTAAGGACGTTCAAGATAAGCTTGATTCCGAGGCAACTGATCTGGACACAGAACTTGATGAGATTCTGGTGGTGTGCAAACGGAATTTGCAAGCAGCTCAGGATAGAGCGGAGAAGTTTGCCAATGAGCATCGCCAATTCCGGGAATATAAGATGGGTGATCTCGTCTTTGTGCGAGTGATCTTTCCGTCAAGTGAGCGGCGGAACACCTTGGTGCCTTTACGGACAGGGAAGAGTGATAAACTTTCCCATCGATATGCTGGTCCATATGAAGTGCTGGAGCGCATTGGTAAAGCGGCTTATCGAGTGCGGCTGCCAGTTGGGGTGAAAATTCATCCGGTATTTTATGTCAGCTAGTTGAAAGGTGTACTATCTCGGAGTGACGGGCCCAATGCCTCCTTGATGTATACGGCTGTGGAAGATGGACCAGGAGCTTGAGCAGGATTCCCCAGAAAGGGTGATCACCGGTACAACTCGTCCTTGGGACAAGGACTTTGTTGGGGGGGAAGAATTGTTAGGCGCCAGCTTTGACTACGTGGTCAACGTCGGTCAAAGGGAGGCTCAAGGGTATATTAAGGCATGTTAGGGTAAGGGACTTAACCTACCCTAGGGCTCACAATGGAGCGGCGGCGCAGTGGAGCTTTTGAGGTAGCTCGGGGGTGGTTGGGTGGTGAGGAACCTCAAGAGGTGGTGTAGCATAGTCTTGGGCAACTAGATCTTTGTCTTTTTGCTCCGGATCATAACAGGTGTAATGGCTGCAAATCTTGGAGCTAAGCTACCAACCGCCAGACCTCTCAAGGGAATACCATGTGTACCTTTGTCGAGATGCTTTTATAATCTAGTGCCATTGGATCCATCAGGTTGAACACTTTCAAGATGGTTACATTCTTCCTTCTATCTGGCATGACTTCATAAAATTTTGAAATAATGGTGTATATGAGGATGCATGCTAGTTTTTAAATTGTATTTATTTAAATTCTTAAAAGTAACAAAATATGCTGTAAATATAATCATAAGATATATTACCACATTTTACTTTACTTAAAAACATTAAAATAACACAATACCACTGATTTTAATTATTTTCATAATTTAATTTATTTATTATTTTAATTATATTAAGTAAGAAAGGATATGTAATTATTTTTTATATTTGGATTCTTTATGTTTTCTAAGTAAGAAATTAATAAGATTATACCTCACTTTTATATACAGTGTATAATTTATTTTTAAAAAACTATATATTGAAAATAATATATTAAATTATTACATTAAGTATTTTTTAGAATTTAAAAAAAATCTAAAATAAATATTTAAATAAATATTGTTTAAGAGACAAGCTTTATAATTTTCTTTTTCTTTACAATCACATTTATTTAGTATGGTTGCAAATTAAACTATTAGTTCTGAGCTATAATATATAATTGTTCAAGTTGTGAGTGCTTGAGATATAAAATTATGTATCTTAATTGGGGTTTACACCCCTACTTATATATAAGAATGGATGAACCAAATTTAATCCTAAATGAATGGTCCATATGTTATATTACTATAATTAGTGTGGAGAGCGCACAGGTTGGGCTTACATTATATTGTTTCCTTTTACTGATCAATGGCTTGTTCTCTTTGGCTAGGATTTGGCTCGCGTAGAAGACGAGGTGATTTCTAGCGAGCATGCCTGTACTGCAGCCTTGGCATGGGAGAAGTTTCACAGCCGACACTCTCAAGGCTTCTTCTTTAAAGTAAGCATCAGCACTGCACTGTTGCCTTACGGGCTTTCCACATTGCAGGAACGTAGGTATCTTCTCAAAGAGTTCCCTGAGCTTGGAAGATCTAATCAAGACTTCACTGTTCTGGAGGTTGGATGTGGAGCTGGAAGTTCGGCCATTGAGGTTTGATGTTGTTTGCTATTCCCTCTTACTGAAGGACTTATTTTGTTCCAGAGCAACAACAACCGCTAGAGTGTATGCTTGCGACCTCAGTGAGGCTGCCGTGAGCCTCACAAACAAAATGGGAGAGAAAGCTTTGAATGAGCAAGCAAAGTCGAGGCTTTGGACTTTTGTTTGCGATCCTTCCTGCGAGGCACTTCCGACGTGGCTGGCTTGTGACGCCTGTCGAGCCTCTGACTTTGGTATCAAGAGCTCCCTTGTAAGCTGCTGCGAAGGAGGAGCAGATTTCATCACGCTGGTAAGCCTGAAATTGTCTTGCAATTAAAACTGATTTGTCTTTTCAGATTTTCGCTCTTTCCGCGCTGGCAGATCTGGATCAAATGAGCAACCTTCTCAAAGAATGTTGCTCTGTACTCCGACCCGGTGGAATGCTTCTCTTTCGAGATTATGGTATGCTATTTCTCCGTGAAGTAAGACTCACAGTGGCAAGCTTACAGGCTTGTATGACATGACGATGTTGAGATTTCCAGCAGACCAAAAAGTAGCTGCTAATTGCTATCGCCGTCTCGATGGTACCTTGTCGTATTTCTTCTCGTGCGAAGCCGTGCGTGATCTCTTTACGGGTGCTGGACTGCTCGAGGTAAAACGAGGCTTGTTTCCTTGTTATTTTTATTCTGTCTGTTCTTTTTCCAGGTTGAACTGGAGTACTGCTGCATTAAGCTGGTGAATCACAAAACTAAAGTTCCTATGAAGCGAGTCTGGGTTCACGCAAAGTTCATGAAGCCTGACCATACGTAAGCAACTCCAGTTTCTAAGAATTCACTCCTTGATTTGAACGACTTGCTCTTTCAGTAAATAGAACATAGAACCTCTGACAAAAATCGAGTTAATCGTCATCAGTTTTTGCTGGTTGGGAAGGACACAACTGCTCCTGGTTCTTCTGGGTGCTTTCAACCCGTGAGAAATTATCAGAGTATACTGGCGAAGGTAAATTCTCTTACGACGAGCTCTACTCGCAAGCAGCTTTGTGAGGCTGTATCCTCCCATATGATACTACAGTCGTCCGGATGGAGAAGATAAGAAATGCCTCGAGTTTAAGGCCGAGACAAGTTTCTAGTGTTTCTGGCTGAGCCGAGAGTCAAGACGATGAAGCAACTCCGGTACCAAAATTGAATTTCGGGTGGAGGAAATAGAAGAGCTCTCAACAGAAAACATGGGTCATTCCAAACTTCAGCAAGGTACTAGAAATCTAGATTTCTTTTGTAATGACTTGACTTGGTGACTTTCAGATCCACTGGTACGCACCGTCTCAAATGACTGCCGTATCTCTTATCGTATGGCAAAGTAGCTTCTTCGAATCTTTTTCTTTGGCTGGCTTTTCTTCCCTTGTGACTTGGGTTTTTAACTGGTCAGGGCGACTGACATGCGTCACTCTTTTTCTGGGCTTTCAGCATGAACCAAGGTATGTTGTGGAGCTTGAGCTTTGTTCTTGCGGCAGCGGTGGGCTGGATAGTCCGGAGGACGATTCAATCAAGAGCCGACTCGCAACGAACAGGCGGTCCAGTACTTTATCCAGTGGTTGGGAATGTGTTCGACTTCCTTCGCAACAGCCACAGGTTTCTGGAGTGGTCGACAGAGTATGTGATCAACTCTCCCTCCAATACTTTCACCACTGGGAGGTTTGGCAGCACTTTCAAAATCACTGGCAATCCCGCAACTGTGGAGCACATCTTGAAGACCAACTTCGAGAATTATCCCAAGGGAGAACACCTGAGGCAGAGCCTGACCGACTTGCTGGGAGATGGTATTTTCAATGTCGACGGGGAGCTGTGGAAGATTCAGAGGAGACTTGCGAGCTTCGAGTTCACAACGAGGTCACTGAGGGAGTTCCTCATGGATTCCCTGGCGGACGAAGTTCACAGCCGGTTACTTCCAACTCTTGCCAGTGTTTCCCGGGACGGGAAGGAGATCGACTTACAGGACTTGTTCATGAGGTTTAACTTCGACAACATTTGCAAGCTCTCTTTCGGTGTTGATCCAGCGTGCTTGGATCCATCGTTTCCGGATGTGAAGTTCGCGCAGGCATTTGACAAGGCAACGACGCTTAGCACGCTGCGGTTCCAAAAGATCCATCCTCTGGTGTGGAAATTAATGCGAGCTCTCAACGTTGGACCGGAAAGAGAACTCAAGGAGGTGCTGGATGTGGTGAACGAGTTTGCAGTGTCAGTGGTCCAGAAGCGGCGAGAAGAAAAAGGAAGGGTCAACCAGGACTTGCTCTCGAGGTTCATTGGACTCGACTCGACGAGCTTCTCTGACGAGTTTTTGCGGGATATCATCATAAGTTTCGTGCTCGCCGGCAAGGACACAACAGCGGTGTCACTCTCGTGGTTCTTCTGGCTGCTCTCGAATCATCCAGGCGTTCAGCAGGAAATCATCAGGAAAGTCGGGAGTATAGTCGCGAAAGGGTCAAACAGGCCATTCACTTACAAAGAGCTTCGGGACATGGTCTACTTGCAAGCAGCTCTGTGCGAATCAATGAGGCTCTATCCCCCAGTGCCGATTGACACAAAGGTCGTGAAGAACTCGGACGTTCTCCCGGATGGTAATTGTGTGGAGAAGGGGATGAAGGTATCGTATCACGTCTACGCTATTGGAAGGATGGAGAGCTTGTGGGGGAAGGACTGCCTCGAGTTTAAGCCCGAGAGATGGATCCACGATGGCCAGTTCGTCGAGGTGAGTCCATTCAAGTTTCCGGTGTTTCAGGCCGGGCCGAGAGTGTGTCTGGGCAAAGAGATGGCCATGCTACAGATGAAGTATGTGGTGGCGGCTCTGGTACCAAAGTTTGAGCTTGTGGTGGTGGGAAAAGAAGAGCCTTGCTACGGTATCAACATGACGCTGATCATGAAAGATGGACTTCCCGTTGTTCCCAAGCTTCGTTAGTCTGAGATGTGGCGCCAATATTCCAGACATGAAAACATTTTCAAAGTTCAACAAACAGTCAAACATACGGGGAGTCAACTGAAGGAAAGAAGTTTTGGATAACTCAATTCCAGAGTTCGTGAATGATGTGTACCATTTTGGAAGCTGGTGAATAACGCAATGTTTGTTTAAGGGGAACTTGCCACTGAACCAAAATTCACAACTTCAACACGTCTCTAATGCACTCGTATATGTTGAGGGTGGTCACTCCGTCACAGTAACCAATGCAAATTGTCTTTAGATTTGGAAGCAACAAGATGCAGAAGTCCTTAAATGAGGAGATTTCAAGGATCTTAGCACCCCAATCAATTTTTCACAATTCCCAAGGGAGAGGTTTGACAATGTCCGGATGGGAAACATTAGAGTATTGGAGTATTATGTTCCAAGTCAAATCCATAGTCTTTAGAGTTTTGAGCTGTCTAATGCTATATGGCAAACTTACCACCCCAGTGTTACTTAGGCACAAAACCGTAATGTAGTTAGAGTGCAATGGGGATTATAATCCAGGAGCAAGCAAGTGGTGCTTGAAACTCTGACTTTCATCTGCATAGGTAGGGGGGTATTTTCAGAAATTCTACACCCAACGAGTGAAATCTTGTTGTAGTTACTGAAGGCATTCCCTGGTATGAGACCTTTCAGCCTTGAGGTAACACTTCCAAGGGGCATTTGTTCCAGGGTGTGTAAAGGAAGAGCTCTTTTTCTTCAGTGATAAGTGCATGACGTTCAAGTGCAGATTTTTACAGTTTGCTTAGAACATAGTCCCAATCTTAAGTGCCTGCCATTCTTCTGCCAATTACCTTCAGGAGCAGTGGAAGCCCCCCACACTTGCCCACAACTCACTCCACTACTACCTTGAACTAGCAAGTTTCTGGTTTGGGAATGCGTGGACTGTGAACAACTTTTCCCAAGAGCCCCATCTCTGTTTTGATTGCACATCTGCTGCCAAGCACATCAATTTTTCGACTGGTAATAAAGATCTTGCTTCCATTCTCTTGCACCACACCAAACAGACCGGATTTCCAGACATTATCCAACACCAGCAAGCACCTTTTCCTGCAAGCCCCGTTTCATTGCCGGTCCGACCTTCTATTCTGATTAGTTTGGCAAGCTCGTGTTGCTTTGCTTCCACCTGAGGAAATATAAACCATGTTGCATGCAGTTGCGATAATCTTAGGAACGGTTAGCCACAAAACTGGATCGAAATACACCTTGTGGTCATTGTCAGGAGTGTACTTGTTCCCACACTCCACAACGTTGTGTAGTCACATGAAACGTCGTCGGGAGTGAAAGGCATGCTATCAACTCTTCTGCCTCGCAACCCCGTCTACTCCATAAGAATCATGATCAAGCCATGGTCTTCACAGCCACTGGGCTGGACACCGTGTGTCGCCCATCCGTCCAAGTTATGGATCTATAACCATCAGGGCTGTCGACAAGAACAAACAGATATACATCGAGTCATCCAGCACCCCAGAAGCCGCAGCCAGGTTTGTTTCCTTTCTTTTCTAGAAAGATTTTTGATAAAATGTTTAATCACAGGATCTATGACCGAGCTTACATCAAGTTCCGGGGTGAAAACTGTCCAAACTTCCCCTACTCGCTACGTGCACGAGATACAAGGTACGATCCCCAGGTACGATCATACTAACGTTTAGAGTACCGAAGTTCTTCTGGAAAGACATCTGAATTGTTTGGCTTTTCTACGCAGTAGATCAATCTGCCCGGGCAGGACTTTATCAAGATGCTACGTAACATGAGTCGCGGCGATTCGCTGCTCTGGTTTACACCTGAGCATCAGGTCAGGACCAGGACAGCCTCGAAAAGGAGTTCAAAGTACAAGAACTAGGAAGGTCAAGGCGAAGTGGATTGAAACATTTCTTCCTCTTTTCGCAGTAAAGACGTCTATTTCCATCCCTGGCTGTTTAAATCTCCCTGCAATTGAAATTTCATCCAGAGTCTCCTCCTCCCGGGACTGTCCAAATGGTCCTTTAGATTTTTTCTCTGCGTTCTTTCAATAGGTTATTGTCTCTGGAATTCCCAACGATAAGAGGGTAAGAAAAGAATGTCGTGGTTGCGGTCAATAGAATATTGGTGGTCAGCCTGTCAATCAAGGTAAAAATACTGAAAGTTTCTAGCCAGATTACAATCGATGTTCCTACAGTTGCAAAAAATTCGAGCTGCATTGAAGTTAAATCAAAAGACAAAAAATGTCAAAATTATACTTGTCTCACTTTTTCGACCAGGCAAAGTGGAGCGACAATGAAGACGACGGACAGGATCATAAGCACACGCCTACTACCTGTTGGCATTCCCAATGAGCAGAACCACTATGCTCATTTCGGTAGGAAGGTGTGAAAAAAAAGAAAAGAGAGAAAGCTTTTAGAAACTTAAAAAAAGAAAAGAAAAACAAAAAAAAGAGAGAACCTTCCACCACTTCCCGCCAATGTGGAAAGCGAGAGACTCATAATCGAGAATAAGCTTGTTTGAGAAGCAGATCACAAGTGTAAGTATTTGCCGAGGCCACAACGAGCATTATCAGGAAGCTGCAGACACTGAATGCATTTGAGAAGGACCGCTCTGCAAGCCGAAGTAAAAAGATCAACTTTACCCTCCCATGATGCTGACTGAGTGTGACGATGCCGCTGAAGAGAGTATGTCGATACTCACTCCTCCGCAGAAGGTAGTGAATCGTTGGCGAAGACGATTTGGGAATTTCGTCCTTGACATGACGCTGAGGGAGCTCTCTGGATCCGTCCTCTCGAGCTGCTTCACCAGAAGGACTCATGATCAGAGATTCCTCCAGACAACCAGGAATTTTTTAAACGAAACCATTAAAAACGGATGGCAGGAACTAAAGCACCACTCGTGTAGCGAACGTACTTCTCGCGGAAAATCTTGCTCAAGCTCACACAGTGGTAAGACTAAAGCTGTGAAGCGGCAACTACGAGAGATTCCATACCTTCCACGCCTCCATTGCTGTCCCATGGCGCACCGATCGATTCCCGAGCCCTAACAAAGAGGAAAGGGAAAATATTCTAGGGCTACGCGGCGATCGCTTCCTCTCACGATGCTCATCTCGGAGGTACTTAGTGATCCAGGGATCCAGGGATGAGGCTACTGTGAATCCGCTGCGGAGAATCGAGCGCCTCGTTTGCAACATCGAGCAGACTTCTCCGAACTCCAAGAATGCGTGCTTGGCCTCAAATCCGAGCTCTCCGAGGAGCAGCGGCTGCAAATCTGGAAGCTGAGCTACCGGATCTGGAACACCTGCGTGGATATCACCAACAGCATCCAGCAGCAGCCGCCAGGCCGCGCAGCGGTGGATCCCTCGGCGGAATACCACGCTCGGCTTCGTCAGATCGCGAGCGAGATGCTCTTCTTGGCATCTACCCGGTGGAGCACTCTCAAGATGGCCAGGTTTGTATGAAATGAAGATGCTCCGTCTTGATTCTCGTGCGAACCTGTGCGTGATCTCTTTATGGGTGCTGGTTTGTTTGCTCGAGGTAAAACGAGGCTTGTTGCTTTGGTACTATGATTCTGTCTGTTCGTTTTCCAGGTTGAACTGGAGTACTGCCAACATGACACTGATCATGAAAGATGGACTCTTTGCATTGTTCCAAAGCTTCGTTAATTTGAGATTTGGTTATTGCAGAGGTCCTCATCTTCTAAAAAACTTCCCATTAAACCTTTGCAATTTTTCGAAGGCGTTCCGAGAGGTGCTCTTGAGAGACAGATGTGTTTCTCAAGCATAAGTTCTCCAAGGATGGATAGAAGGAGCTGTCTTCAGAATCTGCAAAGGGTAACATGTTGATCTTCTTGCAACCTCTCAGATCAAGCTCCCTTAGCAAAGGAAGCCTTGCAACACCATCGGGTATCACATCCAAGTTCTCCAAAAAATTTAATCCCAGAGTTCTCAACGTTGTGAGTGATGCGAACCATTCTGGTTGTTGGTCAATACCACAGCTGTATAGTTGCAGCCACCTCAGCTGTGAGAAGGCATCCATGGCACCTAGAGAGTCTGGAAGCTGTTCAAATCCACCAAGGGTTATTGCTTCAAGTCGTGGGAAGTTGCCACCGAATGCAACACGGGCATGCATGCGAAAGGAGCGAATTTGAACAACTGTCAGTGATGGGCACTCGGATATGTTGATGGTAGTCACTTCGTTGCAGGTATCTAGAAGAACTATCTCTAGATTTGGAAGGAACGAGATGGAGAGGTCCTTCAAGGAGGGACACCTGGCGATGTTGAGGACCTTGAGTGATGCCAGTTGAGAGATGGTGGGCACCCCAATCAACTTTTGGCATCCCTCAAGGCAGAGTATTGTCAGCGTGGGAAACATTTCCTGTGTTAAGAAAGGAAGCCCCTCAAGGTGGTTATTGGCCTTAATAACCAATTTTTGCAAGTTTTCCATGCTGGAGGTTACTTTATAGCCACTTTGCCCAAAGTGTCCCACTTCCATTGTTCTCAACCTCGGAAATCTGCTCCAGTCCCAGTCTGGCAATGGAAACTCCAATCCCCAGAGTTTCAATTCCTGCAAGTTCTCCATGCTGCAGGTTACTTTAAAGTCACTTTTCCCAAAGCAGCTCACTTCCAAAGTTCTCAACCTCGGAAATCTGCTCCAGTCCCAGTCTGAGGTCAATGGAAGCTCCAATCCCCAGAGTTTCAAAATCTCAAGGTCGGGCAAGCCTTGAAAGCTGTCACATATTCCCTGTTTGCAACCCTGTATTTCCAACTGTTTCAAATGGGCCAGTTTGCCTGTGCTTGCTGGTAGATCCACAGCCAACTGTGTATCAATAATCAACACCTCCAACTTTGTCAATGCCTGAAACATCCCATCCAGATAGAGTCTTCCAAACCTCCTGTTCAAGCATTTCTTCTGTTTGAAAAGCCGATGATGCAGCCTGTGGCATGTCCACATTCCACAACATCCCCTTCCGTTTAAGTAGACCAGCTTGGTGAGTTTGAGCAAAGCATCCACAGGGAAAGACTTTAGTCGCAAACAGCCTTCCAAGTTCAAATATGATAAATTCGCCAAGTTGCCCAGTGAATCTGGGATGCTTTGGAGTGACCTACTCGAAGACAAATCCAGAGTCTCCAGAGTCTTGAGCTGTCCAATGCTATGTGGCAAACTTACCACCCCAGTGCGACTCAGGCACAAAACCTTCAAGCCTTTGAAAAGAGAGAGGCTTGGCAATGCAGTGAGGTCGAGATTATAATCCAAGAGCAGGCAAGTGGTGCTGGAAACTTTGACCCTGTTCTTCTTAGGCAGAGGGATTTCCGAAATTCCACACTCAAACAGTGAAATCCTGCTGTAGTTACTCGTGAAGGCGTCCCCCACATCCCTCATCTGCGACTGCCCAGCCTTGAAATAACACTTGGGGCCTTCTCGTTCCAGGATGTGCAAAGCAAGAGCCAGCAACGCATCGTGGATCCTGTAATACTTCGTTTGTCTCGGCACTATTTCCCAACTTTCTTGTTCTTCTTCAGTGATAAGTGCGTGATTCTTGAGCCTTTCTAGAACATTCGTGGCCTCTGCTATGTTGGCAACCAGCCCTTCGCCTTTCCAACACCTGAACAGCTCCCAAAATCCAATCGGATAGTCTTCTGGAAATGCTGCGAAGAAGAGAAAGTGCTGCTGGATGCGAAGAGGCAACAATGCATCGTAACCCAGCTTGAGTCGCTCCAGTACCTGTTGTTCCTCATCAAGAGCAATAAGTCGTTGATCCTTGAGTTTGCTCAGAACATAGTCCCAATCTTGTGTGCCTGCCATTCTTCTGCCAATTACCTTCAAGACCAGTGGAAGCCCCCCACACTTTTCCACAACTTGCTCCACCACTGCCTTGGTGACTTGAGCATGATTTTGGTTAGGGAATGCGTGGACTACGAACAACTTCATGCTGTCCTCCTTTCCCAAGAGCCCCATTTCGGTTTTGATTGCACCTCTACTGTCAAGCACATCACGTTTTCGAGTGGTAATGAAGATCTTGCTTCCATTCTCTTGGACCACATCCAAGAGATCCAAATGGATGGACTTCCAGACATCATCCAACACCAGCAAGCATCTCTTCCCAACAAGCCCCCTCCCCAGTGTTTCATTGCTGATCTGATCACCTTCTAGTCGGATTTTTTTGGCAAGTTCGTCTTGCTTTGCTTCCACCTGAGGAGATACAACCATAGCCGCAATATGTTGCATTATAAGCTTAAGGAACGTACCTGAACCGACTGACCGAATGTTAGCCACAAAACTGGATCAAAACACCCCTTGACTTGATCGTTGTCACATACTTTTTTGGCCAGGAGTGTTTTTCCAGCACCTCCTGCTCCATGGACTCCAACCCACTTGCTGCTTGCAGGGGACCCCAGCAAGTCTGATACAACCCGCTCCAGCGTCTCTTCCATGCCGAAAATGTGCTTATCCAGAGGAACAACATGCTGTTCTTCCTGTGGAACCACATTAGAGGGCACCTCCTTTTGCTTCTTCAATGTATGTAGAATCTCAACATCAAGATTTCGAGGAGCTGCAGCCAAGTGCCCATGGATCGCCTTGGAGCAGTGTTCGATCTTGGTAGCAAGCTGTATCCTGGAACAAAATCACAAACTCAATTCAGAAATGTCCCAAGAGAAGCACAATCAACCTACCTCTTTAGGCCATCCAGAATGGGATTTTGCAGCGACTGGCACTCAAGAATAAGAGGTTTAGCCTCTTCAACCTTGGCTTGGAGGGCTTTCAGCCAGGAATCCAGTTGTGAGGAGCTCAGAGAGCCCTGGGCAGCAGAATATCTCTTCATTTCACCTAGCAGATCTGATGCTTCGGTCAATGAAACTTCCAACTCGCTGCACTTCTTCTTGCAATGAATGGCAGACTTGGCAAGCCCAATCACTTCTCTAACAGCTTCAGAAACAAGCGCTCTCAGCACACCCGTGGGATCGAGGTTGGCCATGGATACAAGCTCTGTATTTTGCTCAACACAAGCATATAACTTCTCTCGCCAGTTCAAACATAGAAAATGATGCAACACGTTTGCGCGTGAATGCGTGTTCCATTGTTTTTCTAATTTTTTTAAATGACACCATTAGAAACGGAAGAAAAGAAGAGTAAAGCACGACTTAGTCTAGTTGCGTGTAACGAGCGTACCTTTCAAAAGAAGAGAAGATTAAATCAATGTCCCACCAAGAGACCTTCCATCGCTGTCGCATTAATCCGCAAGTCGCTATAATCTTACATGTTCTCATGTCAGTCATGTGCTCTATCAAAACTTATACACGTGGCAATATTTAATTCGCCCGAATAAAAACCCAATTATGTGTTGGCACGTGTACCGCCCAGGGTTAGGGTTTATGGATTCAAAGTTGAGCGGGAAAATATTCTAGGGCTTCGCAGGACTGGACCCGAGGATCGCTTGCTCTCAGGATGATCATCTCGGAGGTTCTTAGTGCAGGGATCGGCGATGTGGCTACTGTGAATCCGCTGCGGAGGATCGATCACCTAGCAGGCTTCTTCTCTGGGAATCAGCAAGTCTTGAAGCTAAGCTACCAGCCGCCAGGCCGCGCAGTGGTGGATTCCTTAGGGGAATACCACGCGCGCCTTTGTCGAGATGCTCTTGTGGGCCGGTGTCGTTGGTCGAGCACTCTCAAGATGGTTACATTCTTCCTTTGATCGCACAAGATCCGGAACTACAAATCGCGGCCGCGAGCCACCGAGATCGTCTCTCATCGATCGGCAGCAGGGAAGAGCAGCAGGTCATGTTTGATCTGTGCCTTGTGCGGTCAAGAAAGAACAGTGTGGGAGATGTCACACAAGGCGCTAGCTTCCAGCATGCTAGGGAGGGCCCGTGGTTTTCTCCAAGACTCCCTGGAGAGGTATCAAGAGCGGGTGGACATATATCTTCTCTACGGGAAATCACTTCTGGCGCTCCAGGGGTCGGAATCAAAGGCTGAGTCCGTCAAGTACATGGAGTAAGCTTATGAGATTTGCTCCGAGGCGCTCAAGGGATCGTGCAAGAGCAAGGGCGAGGAGCAAACTGTGACAAGCCAGGAGCTCACAATTCTCAGGTACATTGCCGCTCCAGAATGGGAACTTCGAGGGAGTTCTCAACTGCGTTTCGGTTCTCAAAGGCTCCTCGGATCATCCTAGCACGTCGTTCCTGGCCTTCAATCAAGGCATTGATTGGGCTCAGTCGTTACGAAGAGGCCGAGGAGGAGCTTGTAGCTCTCATATCATATGACAAGGCTGCAGTGGAGGTGTGCCTGTCCGCTTTGACGTTCTTGATCAAAGAGACGACGCCGTTTCAGAGAAAACGTTCTTCGTTTTGCTTTAGAGGTTTTCATCCACAAGAGAAGTCTGGCGCTTCTCTGAATTTCTTTTATTTCACCGTTATATGAGAGCTGACTTTTGGGGTGTTTTTGTAATAGTGGCTCGGATTTCTTCCTACAGCCATTGTTCGAGGCTGCCATGCATTACCTGCCTGCGGAAGAGGAAACTACCATGAGAGCGAAGGCATTGCGTGCTTTATGTCTCTGCTATCTGGGCCTCGTGCAGTATGACAGAGCTGCTGAACACGTTCATGCTGCTGAAAAGGTATTTTGAGAAAGCTTTTGGTTTTGTGACTGAGGATCTTTCTTCGTTCTTTGCAGCTTGAACCGAACGTGTCGTGTAGTTTTCTGAAGGTAAGTCGCTTGTTTGAGCTAGCAAGCTAACTACATCGATCTGTAATTTGTAAACAGTGGATGAACATTGCTCTGGAGCTGCTCAGTCATGCGCCTGTTATGGAACCTCAACGACAGGGAATGGGGGAATGGTTGATGAAGCAGAAGCAGGGCCATGTCGACTTGATGGAGGAGTGCCTCCAAGCCGTTACTTCAATGCAGCTTGCAGTGGGAGCAGAGAAGCGCGGGACGCTCATTGTCCTGGAGGGTCTGGACAGAAGCGGGAAGAGCTCTCAGTGTCACTGGCTGGTTGAGTTTTTGAAGGGCTGAAGGCGGAGGCTTGGCGGTTTCCAGGACAACGGCCATCGGTAGCTCGATTTCGGCTTCCTTGGGGGCTGAGCTTGATGATCGTGCTGTTCATCTTTTGTTTTCAGCAAACGGCTGCGAGAAGAGGTGTGACTTTCTTGACTAGTTTTTGAGAACAGCACATCTTGTTTTCTTACAAACTGCAGATGGAAATGAAATTGATGGCTGGAATAACGTTGGTAGTAGATCGATATTCGTACTCAGGAGTGGCTTTCTCTGCTGCGAAGGGACTGGATCTTGAGTGGTGCAAGGTGCAGACCGCTGCCTAAGCTTTAGCGTTTAACTGGACAGGCTCTCGGGGTTGGACTTCCTGCTGCAGACCTGGTCCGCCAGAGGTACTCTACATTCTATAAAGCAGCTCTTTCATTATTTTTTGTTTAGGAAGCTGCTGTGCGCGGTGGATATGGAGATGAGCAGCTGGATTTTCAGAAAAAAGTTGCCTTACAGTACAAAGGTCTGCAGGGTAAAAGACGGAGACTTTTCTTTTGTCGTCAAGTTTGTGGACGCAAGGCAATCTTTTGACCAAGTTCACGAGCTGATGAGAGAAACGTGTGTGAAAACTTTTAGCATGTGCCTCAATGGGTAGGCTTACTATTTTACATTGCTTCATCACAAACTTTTTTTTTCTGCAGGCAATTTTTCGATTCAGGTGTGTTGAATTTTACACGCTATAGCTCTAGTTCTCAGGCAGCCTCCTCATCAATGCTCAAAGCAGTGGAAAGCACGACGTATGGGAAAGAGCTCTCGGGGCGGCAGTTCATAAGGCCCTCTCCTGCGTTTTGAGCCACGGTTGCATCACTTTGAGTCATAGACGCGGCCAGCAACGTTATCCACTCGGCATCTCTGGCTGAAGTCGGATACTTTTTTAGGAGATCCTCTGCTTCACGCAGCATTCCTGACCGGCTCAGCAGATCCAGCATGCAACCACAGTGCTCAACAGAAATCTTAACCTCGTAATCGACCAGCATTGATATGAAGAACTCGGATCTTTTTTTCAAGTTACCAGCATGGCTACAAGCACACAGAACACTAAGAAAGGTGGCACCATCGGGTCTCACTCCCTCCTGCTTCATTTTGGCGAACAGACCAAGAGCTTTGCCGAGGTGACCGTGCTGAGCATAACCAGCTATCATGGCATTGCGAGTGACGACGTCGGGAAGAGGTATACTGTCAAAGAACTCCTCGGCTTCGCTCAAGCAATCACATTTTCCATACATGTTGACAATGGCTGTTCCCAGGATTACGTCGACGCTCATCTTCTGCTGAAGTATTCGCTGGTGTATAAGTTTCCTTCGGTTGCAGCCACTGAGCAGGCGCAAGCATCCAATGCTGCTACATACGTCCGTTTGTCAGCAACTCCGGGATCCATTGGCGGAAGAGTTCCAAGGCTTCTTTGGGACGACCGTTCTGAGCATAGCCCGAGATCATGGTGTTCCAGCTGACAGCGTCCGGGCCTCCATTCTGTCGAAAACACGTCGCCCGTCTTCCAAACGTCCATACTTGATAGACATGTTCGCGAGTACCGTTGCCGCTACTACGTCCGATTCGAATCCAGCCTCAACTAAGTTGCCGTGAAGAGCTTCTCCCGCAGCAGCAACTTAGCGTTTCCTGCCGAAGAACAAGCATTGAGGACGTTGACAAAGACGACTGAGTCGAGGCTTTGACCCTCCAGAATCATCATCCTGAAGAGCTGCAGGGGGCCTCGTGACCATGACCGTTTTCTGCATAAGCCGCAACCATGACGCTCCAACTGACTAAGTTCCTCTCCAATGTTTCAGATTCAAACAGTTCGCGAGCTTTCTCTAGACAGCCGCATTTTCCATACATGACTACGAGAGCATTCCTCACGAAGAGTACTGAGGCCCGGCCACTTTCACAGCTGCAGGCGTGGATCAGCTTTCCTTCCGTCAAATCTTCCGGACAAGCACAGGCTTTGATAGTAGAGATGAGAGTGATCTCATTTGGAGTGACGCCTTCCAGAAGCAGCTGCTTGAACAACGTCCGAGCACCGTCTCCTTGGCGGTCCCGGACAAGAGCTGATATCATCGAGTTCCACGACACCAAGTCCGGAGCTTCGATCCTTTCAAAGATCTTCCGGGCTTCGTCCAGCTTCCCGCTCTTCCCGCTCAATGAGGACGTCCGACTCGAGGCCGAGATCGCAAACACAGATGTGAACCGCCGTGCCAATACCCAGCGTCAATGTAGAGCTGCAAGCATTGAGAACCGTGACATACGTGACACTGTTTGGAGCGACACCTTCCAAGAGCATCAGCATGAAGAGCTCCAAGGACTGTCCACAGCAGCCGTTCTGGACGTAAGCCGAGATCATGGCGTTCCACAACATCACTCCATGCGGACATCAGACACAAACTCCATCAAACCAGGCTCGAGCATCGACCAGGCTGCTGCACTTCCCATACATGCTCACGACCGAAGTTCCGATGATCTCGTTGTCCTCTAGCCCGCTCTCTAAGATCTGGGAGTGGATCGCCTTCCCGCCACTCAACGCTCTCCTCGCAGAAACACAGGCTTTCAACACGGCAGTGAAAGTGAAGCTGTCGGGCTTGACACCGTGCTGGAGCATCTGGCAGTAGAACTCGAGCACCTTGGTGGTGCTGCTGGATTGACGAGAGTATGCGGACAACATCGCCGTCCACGTCGTGACGTCTCGGAAGTGAGCCATCCTGTTCCTGTCCAAGAAGACGTCCTCGGCGTTCTCTACACTGCCACACTTGAGCTACATGTGGACGAGGCGCTCACGCAGGTAAAAGCTTTCCTGAAAGCCAGACTCTACAATGTGACTGTGAATCTTTTGTGCATCTAACAGGCTTTCCAGAGAACCACACTCGCGGATGAGACGAGCCAGAGTGGAGACATCGGAGGAGCATAGCTTCGAATCGAGGTACTCTCTCAAGTTTAGCTGTTTGCTTGCACAGTCTGTAGCGAGTCCTCTGGCCAGCCTTCTCATACCGCTGCTAGAGTTCTTCCCGCGAGCACCATCTTCGTCTCTAGCTAGAAGTCCAGCAAAAACTGCGGTAGCATTCTTTCGAAATGTGTTGCTTCGATGCGATCCTTTCCCTCGGCCTCTGCAATGATTCCCACTCGCCCGACTGCCTCTGCATCAATCAGCCCAGAAGTTTTGGTTCTAGTTCCTTCTTTGAAACGAAATAGAGTAAACCCGACCTCTGACGAAGAGCTTGAGCAACTCACAGAGCATTCGCATTTGCTGCAAAACGGAAACGAAACTGGCTGCATTTCTCTATGATCTTTAGAAAGCTCTGCTTTGGACTTGGTTCTTTTCGAGGTTGCGCCTACGTTGGATTCATCCGCCTGGGCAACATCTGTTGTGGAGCTCAGACAAAAGAGAGAGAGAGGAAGAGCAAACCCTGGCTGGCCTTCTCCCAAAGGCTCTTGAAAATCTCGTGAATTAGATCTTGTGAGAGGACAAGACAAGGGTAAGCTGGATCCAAGCTCACATTTCCTACCGGACTGATTCCTACACTTCTAGAAGCTTCATCCATCACCATTAAACCTAAAGTTTAGTTTGTTAGGGTAAAGTTTTTAACATGATTTAAAATTTATTTTGTTTAACTTTTTAAAAATAAGGAAAATTTATTTACTTTAAAATTTTCCATTTAAAGCAAAAAATTAAAAGTTAAGAATATCTATAAATTTACAAAATTTAAATAATACAGATTATTTTGTTAGGAGTAACAACATACAAATTTAGAATAGTGTTAAATTAGTTTTTTCTTCTTAAGAACACTTTAATAGAATATTTAAAATTGTATAAATATTTAAAATTGTATTGTAATTTTATAAAACATTTTATTTTTTGAAATTTTTATTATTCTCATTGAATTTTTTTTCAGCTCAAATATACATATTTTAAATTCAATATAAATATGGTATGGCAGTGAACAAGTATATATACAACCTTTGACTTACTCTTTGAAGCAAATAATATATTTAATTATATTTGATGTGGTATACCACATAATAAAAATTTGAAATAATAATATTTTTTAGGTTGCATACTATATATATATAACCCTTAGAGAGAAAACAATAAAATTAAAGCTTGGTCAAAACTAGGAACTTAAATTGTAACTATTTAAATTTGTAATTTGATATTCATAACACTTTTTATTATTGAAGATGGTTGTAATTATATAAAGGTAACAAAAGCAACATAATACCACCAATTTATAATATTTTATACTTTAATCTGTAAGGTTTGTAAATATATATATGTATATATATGTATTTCCCTAACTTATCGACCATTCATTCAGAACTAAATATAGTCCATCCATTCTTGTATTTAAATAAAAATCTAAACCCCAATTAATATAACCATTCTTATATCTTGAGCACTTATATTAGTGCAGTTGAGGGATATTGCAATTTGTCCCTGATGGGCAAAGTTTTTTAGAAGTGCTTTGCTCTAGTGTTTAGGATTGTGCTTTTTGTTTTTATTTCTTCATTCTTTTTGAAATCTAGATATGTAATAATTTTTTGTAAGATCTAGAACTTTAGTTATGTCTATGCTTAGATCTACTCTTTCTTATAATTTTCATTGTATTCTTTTCTTCTACCATACCATGTAGTCATCAATCAAAGAGTATATCACTTAAAGTTATTAATGCTACTCCATTAGATCGAACTTTTGGTGTTGTGGGGTGTGCTCATGTTGGTATTATGCATATTTTTGGTGTGTTGTTGTCTTTAACTTTCATAGAACATGATTACATAATTTGTTTTCTTTTTGGTGTTTTACTATTTTCTGTTGATGTGGAGTGTGATGTTGACATTGATTAACGAACTATGAATGATACAATCCAATTCTTGGAGAATGTTCAAGGATCAAGTTTATAGAAAAATGATATGTACGAACTCAAGTGGATTTCAGATTGTGATAACGAGCTTGATTATTATAGAGATAACTTTGGAGATGAAATGAAGATTTCATGGGATAAATGTCAATCTTACAATCTACCACTTGATCCTTTCTATTTACCTTTTGTTATTTCCCAATATTTTTTTAATTTCTCAGCATAAGCCACCTTTTCATGTTTTTAGTATTTCTTCCTCATTTGCAATGTTTTCTTCTCTTGGCACATTGATCATTTGTGACTCTCATGATTTTCATTCTCAATTCAATGTTGAGTTGAGTGTTATGTCCTCTTCATATTAATCTGGATGTTAAGTATGTGCATGAAGTTGAAAATCTTACTTTTTCTTTATTTAAAAAGACTTTAATCAATTTTGATATTGAGTATTCCCCAATTCCAAGGGTTGAATCACTTTGGTCAAAATCTCAAGTTCAATGCATATCCCTAATTATGAGTGCCATTGAGAGTCTTTATTTTATTGTTTGTGCTAAGGAGTTTATGTGTTTTATTGAGAGTATAGACATTTTTATTAATTTTCCCATCTCAAAAGTTTTGTTATATGTTGAAGAAGTTGATATGTGTGAATCTTTTACTTATATTGTGGTGGCTGAAGTATTTTATGATAGGAAGTCCCTTATTTTCTAAACTTTGAGCACATGTCATTCTTTTGATTTTTTTATTTCTATATTGCCAACTACTATAAATTCCTCTTTTGATACTTCTTTATCCATTTTTTCTTCTTCCACAATTATTTGTCTTTAATTTTTTTCAGTTTCTCATTTCTGCCCTGACACTTCAAACTTTTTTTTTCTTTGGAGGGGGTAGAAAGGACAGATGGGAGTCTAGCCCTAATGATAAAGTCAGGATAAACAAATATAATAGTGGAGCAAAGATGAATGACATGGATTGTGGAGTGAGGACGAACATAATAAGTCCAAATGGAATATTTAACTTCGATGTAGTAATCCTGTAAAAGGACAAGACAAGGGTAAGCTGGATCCAAGCCCACATTCCCTACCGGACTGATTCCCACACTTGTAGAAGCCTCGTCCATCACCACTAAACCTAAAGTTCTGTTTGTTAGGGTAAACTTTTTAACATGATTTGAAACTTAATTATATTTTATCTTTTTAAATAAGTAAAAGTTAAATTTTGCCAAAATTAAAAGTTAAGAATAATTATAAATTAAAATTATACAAATTTAGTGTAGTGTAAATTTTTTTTCTTCCTTAGAACACTTTAATAAATTATTCTGAACTTTATTTTTCATTTGTGTTTTATAAAGCCTTTTTTTAAAATTTTAATTATTGTTATTTAATATTTTTTACACTCAAATATACATTTTTTGAGTTAAGCACAAACATGGTGCATTTATTTTGGCAGTTAATAAACATATAAATAACCATTGATTTGCCTTTTGGGGAAAATTATATATTTAATTATATTTTATGTGCTATATTACATAACAAAAAAAGAAATAATGATATTTTTGCATGCTACATAGTAAACCCTTGGAGAGGAAACAATAAAGTTAAAGTTTTCTCAAGATTAATACCTTAATTTGTAAATATTTAAATTTGTAATCTAAAACTCATAATACTATTTTATTAGTGAAGATGGTTGTAATTATTATAAAGATAACAAAATATGATATAAACATAATAAAAAAGATACATTTGTGTTATTACCTCCTTTTATTTTAAAATTAAGTTTAATATTTGGGTTCTTTATTTTTCAAAGTAAGGAATTAACAAAATTATACTTCACTTTTATATTTAGTACAATATTTTTCAAAAAATAAAAACTATAACTTCAAAATAATATAATCTATTAGAAGTAAAAAGATTCTGGAGTAAATATTTTTTTCAGCCTAAATAAGTATGGTTCAAGAGTTAATTTTTAATATTTTAACTAATTTTCTTTCTCTTTACAATCACATTTACTTGGTAAAAGTGCAAAAACAAAGAATTATCTGTAAGCTATATTATATAATTGTTGAATCTAATGTCTCACAATATCATGATTTTGAAGAATAATGCAATATGAACACAAATATTAGTCAGATTATTTAGTTTTGTTTTAATAAAATTTATTACATTTCTTTGCAGATATTTTCAGAAAAGTGCTGTGAAAAAGCTTGATATTTTTGAGATTGGAAATATTAAGATAATTTGATATATCTTGATCACATTTCTTAGTGTCTTTCCTTGTTAATAAAATTAAACAACATACTTATGTACCTGATGTTTGTGTACAAGTGCAAAATTTGGTGGTGGACCAATAGCAAAAGAGAGTATGTGCGTGTTCTAGTTTGAGTGGGCTAGGCCACTCAAACCCAATCTTCTTCTCTTCTTCTTCGTTGGCTGGCTCTTGTAGGTAGCAACGCATAACACTGATTCCTAGTGTGGCAACTCGACTTTAGGCAACCAAACCGCGAAGCTTCCATGCACTCACGCCCCTACTTTTGTCCACCCCCGCCCCCTCAGAGAAAGCGCCAGTCTAAATGTGCCGTCTTTGGGACACAGCCTTAAACTAGAGAGAAATTCTTAGTAGTCACGTTCAAAGAGTTTTAATCACAGTATTTTTCTTTGCTTTTGTCTGTTCTATACAAAACAACCCTCCACAATCTTTCCGAGGGCATTGTTTGTGATCAACTTTCCATCAAGCGAAAATGCTCTCCAGATGAGAAAAAAACTATAGAAAGAGAGAGAAATTTTGGAAGAGTTATAAGTATCACATATAAGCTATACTCTCTTTGTTTTCTCACTTGGTAAAGAGGAGAGTGTCTGTGTGTGTGTGTGTGTGTCTGTGAGTTTGGCCTGTTCTTAGCTTGCTGCTGCTGCCTTCCACAGTCCAAAACCTTTAAAACTTGGCACTGCGAATCATCTCCACCGCCTCTACACACCAATCCACTGCCTCGGTGCTGCTGCTGCTGCTGATCCAGCATTTGCCGGGATGGTTCTCTTGAGCATCTCCCCCTTTTCTAGCTGGAGCTTGAGCTCGTCGACGAGCCTGGGAGGCGAGGCCCTGGGAGGCGTCACGGGACGGGCCGGTGACGGGCTTCTCGAGCGCGGCGATATGTCTTTCGCGGACGACTTTGACGACGTCTCGGCCCTCTCGGCTGGTTTGGCAGACAGCCTGGAAAGCAAAACAGAAGGCATCAGTTAAGTCACACACATAAACACCGAGTTTGATCCTCGGTCTTGGCGAGATGGCGATGAGAGATGGTGGTGAGATACAGACCTGTCTATGGCTACGCTGCAAATGAAGTCTCTGGTAGCTGCTCTGTTGCCAGAGTTTAAGTTCGAGATGGCATCAGACACAGAGCCCCGTTACAGTATCAACATGACTCTAGCCATCAAGAATGGATTCCAGTGATTCCGAGAGCTCGAGAGTAAAGAAAATAGAAAACAATGTCAGCAAGGAAATGTAACTGTTGCTTACATTTGTTGACGTTTTACAGTGTGGTTAGGGCTGCAACGCAACGGCAATAACAAAAGCACGAAGCACCACCTGTTTGGAAAATTATACCTGTTTCAGTTTTTCCACCAGGCAAAATGGAGCGACAATGAAGACGACAGACAGGATCATAAGCACACGCCTGTTACCTGTTAACATTGGAAGTGATGTTTTCAATGCCGATGACAGCAGCTTCACTGACTTCCTGAATGCTGCCTATAATGGTCCCAATGGGCAGAACCACTATGCTAATTTCGGTAGCAAGCTGTGAAAAAAAAGAAAAGAGAGAAAGCTTTTAGAAACTTCAAAAAAAGAAAACAAAAACAAAAAAGAGAGAGAGAACCTTCCACCACTTCCCACCAATGTGGAAAGCAAGAGACTCATAATCGAGAATAAGCTTGTCTGAGAAGCTGATCACAAGTGTAAGTATCTGCCGAGGCCACAACGAGCATTATCAGGAAGCCGCAGACAATTCCTGTGGCAGTGAATGCATTTGAGAAGGACCGCTCTGCAACCCGAAGAAAAAAGATCAAATGAAGGAAAAAACCAACCCTCCCATGATGAGTGTGACGATGCCACTGAAAAGAGCATGTCGATACCCACTCCTCTTGAGAAGGTAGCGTATCGTTGGCGAAGACGATTTGGGAATTTCGTCGTCGACATGACGCCGAGGGAGCTCTCTGGATCCGTCCTCTCGAGCTGCTTCACCAGAAGGACCCATTATCAGAGATTCCTCCAGACAACCAGGAATTTTTTAAGCGAAACCATTAAAAACGGACGGAAAGAAGACTCAAGCACGCACCACTCACTCTAGTCGCGTGTAGCGAACGTACCTCTCGCGGAAAATCTTGCTCAAGCTCAACAGTGCTAAGACTGGAAGCTAACGCTGTGAAGCGGCAACTACGAGAGATTCCATACCTTCCGCGCCTCCATTGCTGGCGCACCGATCGGTTAACAAAGAGGAAAAGGTTAGGGTTTATGGCGCGGGAGGACGAGCGTCTCACGATGCTCATCTCGGAGGTACTTGGTGATCCAGGGATCGGCGATGAGGCTAATGTGAATCCGCTGCGGAGAATCGAGCGCCTCGTTTGCGACATCGAGCAGACTTCTCCGAGCTCCAAGAATGCGTGCTTGGCCTCAAATCCGAGCTCTCCGAGGAGCAGCGGCTGCAAATGTGGAAGCTGAGGTACCGGATCTGGAACACCTGCGTGGATATCGCCAACAGCATCCACCAGCAGCAGCCGCCAGGCCGCGCAGCGGTGGATTCCTCGGGGAATACCACGCTCGGCTTCGTCAGATCGCGGGCGAGATGCTCTTCTTTCCCGGTGGAGCACTCTTAAGATGGGGTGCTGGTTTGTTTGCTCGAGGTAAAACGAGGTTTACTATGATTCTGTGTGTTCGTTTTCCAGGTTGAACTGGAGTACTGCCAACATGACACTGATCATGAAAGATGGACTCTTTGCAGATTGTTACCCTTCGCAGGTTTGCACAATGTTGTTCCAAAGCTTCGTTAATTTGAGATTTGGTTATTGCAGAGGTCCTCATCTTCTAAAAAACGTAACTCTGCAATTTTTCGAAGGCGTTGCGAGAGGTGCTTTCGAGAGACGGATGTGTTGCATAAGCGTAAGTACTTCAGGGATGGATAGAAGGAGCTGTCCTCAGAATCTGCAAAGGGTAACACGCGGATCTTCTCGCAACCTTGCAGATCAAGCCTTCTTAGCAGAGGAAGCCTTGCAACACCATCGGGTATCACATCCAACTTCCCCAAAAAAATTAATCTCAGAGTTCTCAATGTTGTGAGTGAAGCGAACCATTCTGGTAATTGGTCAATACAACAGCCTTGTATTTGCAGCTGCATCAGCTGTGGGAAGGCATCCACGGCACCTAAAGAGACATCTGACAGCTGTTGAAGTCCTTCAAGGATTATTTCTTCAAGTCGTGGGAACTTGCCACCGAATGCAACACGGGCAAGCCTGTGAATGTACTCGATATGAACAACTCTCAGTGATGGGCACTCGGATATGTTGATGGTGGTCACTTCGTCGCAGAAACCTAGAGTAAATGTCTCTAGCTTTGGAAGGAACGAGATGGAGAGGTCCTTCAAGGAGGGACAGGTGTCGATGTTGAGGACCTTGAGTGATGCCAGTTGAGAAATGGTGGGCACGCCAATACCCAAATGTGCTTTGATAATCAACACCTCCAACTCTGTCAATGCTTGAAACATCCCATCCCTTCCAAGCCTTCTGTTTACGCATTTCAGATGTTTCAAAAACCGATGATGCAGCCTGTGGCATGTCCACATTGTAAAACATGCACCTCCGTTTAAGTAGACCAGCTTGGTGAGTTTGAGCAAAGCATCCACAGGGAAAGACTTGAGTTTCGGACAGTCTTGCAAATTCAAATATGATAAATTCGCCAAGTTGCCCAGTGAATCTGGGATGCTTTTGAGTGAAGCATTCCAAGACAAATCCAGAGTCTCCAGAGTCTTGAGCTGTCCAATGCTATGTGGCAGACTTACCACCTCAGTGTGACTCAGGCACAAAACCTTCAAGCCTTTGAAAAGAGAGAGGCTTGGCAATGCAGTGAGATCGAGATTATAATCCAAGAGCAGGCAAGTGGTGCTGGAAACTTTGACCCTGTTCTTCTTAGGCAGAGGGATTTCCGAAATTCCACACTCAAACAGTGAAATCCTGCTGTAGTTACTCGTGAAGGCGTCCCCCACATCCCTCATCTGCGACTGCCCAGCCTTGAAATAACACTTGGGGCCTTCTTGTTCCAGGATGTGCAAAGCAAGAGCCAGCAACGCATCGTGAATCCTGTACCTCCTATTTCCCAAATAGCTTTCTGCTTTCGCATTGTGAATCCTGTACCTCTTATTCTCCCCTGGCCGGTCTTTTCCTTCTTCAGTGATAAGTGCGTGATTCTTGAGCCTTTCTAAAACATTCTTGGCCTCTGCTGTGTTGGCAACCAGCCCTTCCCCTTTCCAACACCTGAACAGCTCCCAAAATCGAATCGGCCAGTCTTCTGGAAATGCAGCAAAGAAGAGAAAGTGCTGCTGGATGCGAAGAGGCAATAATGCATCGTAACCCAGCTTGAGTCGCTGCAGTACCTGTTCTTCCTCATCAAGAGCAATAACTTGCTGATCCTTGAGTTTGCTCAGAACGTAGTCCCAATCTTGTGTGGCTGCCATTCTCCTGCCAATTACCTCCAAGACCAGTGGAAGCCCCCCACACTTTTCCACAACTTGCTCCACCACTGCCTTGCTGACTTGAGCGTGATTTTGGTTTGGGAATGCGTGGACTGCGAACAACTTCATGCTGTCTTCCTTTCCCAAGAGCCCCATCTCGGTTTTGATTGCACCTCTACTGTCAAGCACATCATGTTTTCGAGTGGTAATGAAGATCTTGCTTCCATTCTCTTGCACCACATCAAAGAGATTCACATCGTTGAACTTCCAGACATCATCCAACACTAGCAAGCATCTCTTCCCAACAAGCCCCCTCCTCAGTGCTTCATTGCTGATCTTATCGCCTTCTAGTTGGATTTTTTTGGCAAGTTCGTCTTGCTTTGCTTCCACCTGAGGAGATCCAACCATAGCCGCTCAATATGTTGCATTATAAGCTTAAGGAATGTACCTGAACCGACTGACCGAATGTTAGCCACAAAACTGGATCGAAACGCCCCTTGACTTGATCGTTGTCACATACTCGTTTGGCCAGGAGTGTTTTTCCAGCACCTCCTGCTCCATGGACTCCAACCCACTTCCTGCTTATAGGGGACTCCAGCAAGTCTGATACAACCCGCTCCAGCGTCTCTTCCATACCGAAAATGTGCTTATCCAGAGGAACAACATGCTGTTCTTCCTTTGGAACGACATTAGACGGGACCTCATTGTGCTTCTTCAATGTATCAATGTTCTTCAGAATCTCAACGCCAAGATGTAGAGAAGCTGCAGCCAAGTGCCCATGGATCGCCTTGGAACAGTGTTCGATCTTGGTAGCAAGCTGTATCCTGAAACAAAATCACAAACTCAATTCAGAAATTCAGAAATATCCCAAGAGAAGCACAACCAAACTACCTCTTTCGGCCATCTAGAATGGGATTTTGCAGAGACTGACATTCAAGAACAAGAGGTTTAGCCTCTTCAACCTTGGCTTGGAGGGCTTTCAGCCAGGAATCCAGTTGTGAGGAGCTCAGAGAGCCCTCGGCAGCAGAATTCATTTCACCTAGCAGATCTGATGCTTTGGTCAATGAATCTTCCAACTCCCTGCACTTCTTCTTGCAATGAATGGCAGACTTGGCAAGCCCAATCACTTCTCTGACAGCTTCAGAAACAAGCGCTCCCAGCACACCCGTGGGATCGAGGCTGGCCATGGATGCAAGCTCTGTATTTTGCTCAACACAAGCATATAACGTCCTCTACGTTCTCTCGCTAGTTCATACATACAAAATGATGCATGCCGTGTTCCATTATTTTTCTAAATTTTTACATGACACCATTAAAAACGTAAGAAAAGAAGACTAAAGCACGACTTAATAACGATCGTCGCATGTAACGAGCGTACCTTTCAAGATTAAATCAATGTCCCACCGAGAGGCAGTCATCCTACGTGGCTGTACATGTTCTCCAGAACACTGCGCCTTCTAGTGCCCAGCCATGTTCTCGAGAACAAAAACGACTGACTTAAACCTCCAATTACCGGTTGCCACGTGTACATCCTCGAGGGGAAAAATCTGTTTGTGGAGCTCAGACAAAAGAGAGAGAGAGGAAAAGCAAACCCTGGCTAGTCTTCTCCCAAACGCTCTTGAAAATCTCGTGAACTAATCCTGTGAGGGTAAGTTGGATCTAAGCTCACATTCCCTACGGGACTGATTCCCACACTTGCAGAAGCCTGGTCCATCACCACTAAACCTAAAGTTCTGTTTGTTAGGGTAAACTTTTTAACATGATTTGAAACTTAATTACATTTTATCTTTTTAAATAAGATAAAGTTTTCTTACATTAAATTTTGCCATTCTAACAGCACATAAGGCAAAATTAAAAGTTAAGAATAATTATAAATTAATAATATAAAAATTTAGTGTAGTGTCAAAATTAGTTTTTTTTTCTTCCTTAGAACACTTTAATAGATTATTTTAAACTTTATTTTTTATTTGTTATTTTATAAAGCATTTTATTTTATAAAATTTTATTTATTGTTATTTAATATTTTTGCACTCAAATATACATATTTTGAGTTAAGCAAAAATATGATGAATTTAGTTTGGCAGTTAATAAAAATATAAATAACCATTGATTTGCCTTTTGGGGAAAACTATATATTTAATTTTATTTGATGTGGTGTATTACATAATAAGCAATGAAATAATGATATTTTTGCATGCTACATAATGAACCCTTGGATAGAAAACAATAAAGTTAAAGTTTAGTCAAGACTAGTATCTTAATTTATAAATATTTGAATTTGTAATTTAATACTCATAACACTATTTTATTATTGAAGATGGTTGTAACTATTATAAAGATAACAAAATATGATATAAACATAATAAAAAAAGATATATTTGTGCTATTACCTCCTTTTACTTTACAAATTAGTTTTAATATTTGGGTTATTTATTTTTCTAAGTAAAGAATTAACAAAATTATACCTCACTTTTATATTTAGTACAATGTTTTTCAAAAAATAAAAACTATAACTTCAAAATAATATATAAATTATTGAATTGATTATTCCCTAGAAGTAGAAAGATTCTGGAATAAATATTTTTTTCAGCCTAAATAAATTTGGTTTAGGAGTTAATTTTTAATATTTTATCTATTTTTATTTCTCTTTACAATCACATTTATTTGGCAAAGTTGCAAAAAGAAAGAATTATTTGTACGCTATAATATAATTGTTGAATCTAATGTCTCACAATGTCAAGATTTTGAAGAATAATGCAATATGAACACAAATATTAGTTAGATTATTTAGTTTTGTTTTAAAAAAATGTATTACATTGCCTTGCAGATATCTTTGGAAAAGTGCTGTGAAAAAGCATGATATTTCTGAGATTGGAAATATTAAGATATTTTTATATATCTTGATCACATTTCTTAGTGTCCCTCTGTTAATAAAATTAAATAACATACTTATGTACCTGATGTTTGTGTAGAAGTGTAAAATTAGGTGGTGGACCAATAGCAAAAGAGATTATGTGCATGTTCTAGTTTGAGTGGGCTAGGCCACTCAAACCCAATCTTCTTCTCTTCTCCTTCCTCATTGGCTGGCTGTTGTAGGTAGCAATGCAAAACACTGACTCCTAGTGTGGCAACTTGACTTTAGGCAACCAAACCTCGAAGCTTCCATGCACTCATGCCCCTACTTTTGTCCACCCCCGCCCCCTTAGAGAAAGCGCCAGTCTAAATGTGTCGTCTTTGGGACACAGCCTTAAACTAGAGAGAAATTCTTAGTAGTCTGGAATGGTAGGACCAGCGCACGCGCTGGAAGGAGTGAGCACCAGCCAGCCCAGTGTCAAACTTTTAAACATTCAAACATCTCTTGCTGCGAATGATCTATTCAAATCCAGAGAGAGTGATCGCCAAACAACCCATTTTTTAGAAGCTTGGAAGAACGTTCAAAGAGTTTTAATCAAAGAATTTTTCTTTGCTTTTGTCTGTTCTATACAAAACAACCCTTCACAATCTTTTTGAGGGCATTGTTTGTGATCAACCTTCATCCATCAAGTGAATATGCTCTCCAGATGAGAAAAAAACTAGAGAAAGAGAGAGAAATACACATGAATTTTGGAAGAGAAGAGTTATAAGTATCAAATATAACCTATACTCTCTTTGTTTTCTCACTTGGTAAAGAGGAGAGTGTTTGTGTGTGTGTGTGTGTGTTTGGTATGACATGCAATTTGTAAAAGGGTGAGTGTTACTGTGGCAGATTTCACTCACAATACAGTGTCCATGTGGCATTTTTCTATTTGTTCGGCATTAAATGTCATTTGGATGCCTCATGGATACCCCATGGATGCTGGCCCAATGGGCCAATGATGTCCCCATAATATGCTATATATAGATGCCACATATCATCAAGTTTGACCCCATGACATAGGGATTCATCAAGTCATAGGGTTTAGGAGACACTTCCTTGCCTTAGCGCCCTGCTTGGCATGTTTCTTGGTAGCAGATGTGGAAGGTAGCTTAGTTTGCTAATGATTGGTTTCAAATGTTTTTGTGGGCAATGTGTGGAAGTGGCTTTTATTTACTACTCAATTGCTCTCTATGGACTTTTAAGTTCCTACCATGACTCCCTAGTTTACTTCAAATTTGTGTCATTGAAATTTTTTCTTCCCGGTTTATTGGAAGACATGGAGGAAGACGAGGTGGATGGCCTTCCATCCCATTTTAGTGATTTGGACTATAGTTCCAATATGGATAGTGACAACAATGCTCTCCTAGAGGTTTACTTAGTTTTCAACCTCCTAGATTCATGATTTGCACGTTTCTAGGCCTTCTTTAATTTTTTGCAATTGAGGGGATTCGGTAGTCTAGTTGCATTTGGCACTTGGATGCACTTGAAGATCCTCAAAACTAAGACTACTACTTACCTCATATGCTATCTTAGAATTTCCAAGCCAACACTGTACAAATACGTGTGGCTTGTTGATCTAAATTGGAGAGGTGTATATTATAAAGTACCACTTAAAGAGGTACTTCATCATGTTCAAACTAACAATGTCATGAATTTAGGTGGCACAAACTAGAGGATTATCAATTCTCGATCTAGTTGTCAAACTGAAGGATACTGGTTTGCCGACACAAAATTTGTGAGGCCTTAGCCACTCACAATCTAAGTAGGCTGGAACAGAGGCACATGATAAGGATTCGATGACAAATTTACAGAAATAAAGAGGTTTATGCACTTTGCCATATACATTGTGACTTTGCTTTGTACCTCAAGAAGGATATTTCACACTGGGTTGCAACCTGGAACCTCCATGAGGTTCGTCCATATCGATGTGGTGATTACTTCAGACCATCTCATGTTCCTGCAAACTTATTTCAACCGATGGAACGAGAGTATGGGTAATATTTTTGGTAATGTTACAGAATTCTTTATAAATTGTGCTTTTGTAGGATTATGCCGGCTATTGGTGGAAAAGATATTGAAGACGTTCTTGGACCATTTCTTTCCAATATCGAAGGTGCAACTCTGTCAGAGGTAACCTTTAGAGCAAGAATAGAATAATTTCTTTAAATCTATTTCATTGTGCTTGGCTACCTTACAGGCTCTTGGCATTGTTCGAAACCTGACATTTTTTATGCATCAGGAGGGACTCAACTTGGACAAGCAATATTTACTTCATTTGGATCTAACAATGGAGTGTGCAATGATTGATGTTGTGGGTGTAGATCTACCACTTTACACCGAGAGTGCCTTACTTACAGCAACACTAGTGAAGTGACAAGCTTTGGAAAAGTTATACTTGGCCATACTCGGAAAAAATTGAGTGCTCTTTAGTATACATTTCAAATTTAAATTCAATTCTTGATTTCTTCAATTTTAGGGTTCCCACATTTGGGATTAGGGTCCCACCCATATTAATTGTGCCTTGGATACGGGGTGATTTCATTTTATGACATGATTTTATCGATGGTTTGTTCATTCTTCTAATCGATTTGTGTCATCTAACTGGAGGCAAGAGTTCTAGTGCACACTCCCTCGATCGCAAGACTACAAGCAAGAGCGCCACAGTTGTGATGGTGGGTAGCTTCTCCTCGATCAGGTTTGCATAACTAATCCCTTGTGGTTTCTATGCTCGAAGCAAGAATGCCACACGCCTCAACAGTAGTAGACACTGTGCAGGAAATACCTCGCGAGCACACAACCAAGCACTCAATGTTCCACAATCAGTATAGCCAATAGTCCCATGAGACACATGCTAGCCACTTGATTTTCCAAGCTCCGCAGCAGGGACATCAACTCCAACAGCATCCCATCCACAGCTCCCGACTGCATTTGAGCAAGCAGAGTGCATACATTGCAACATATGTGGAACCTCTAGCATGTTTTGTTCTCCTCACCTTCCTGTGGAAAGTAGCATCTCGAGCGTCCGAAATGAGCAATTCTAGACGCCTCATGCCCATGGTGTTGTCCAATCTAGAACGTTGCCACCAACACCAACTATAGGATGTGCTCACAGAACCCCATATGGTGCCACTACTACTAGCCCCGTAACTCCACCAGCCGCTACAACTCTTGCAACTCCATTTACCAGTACAAGTGCTAGTACCTGGCCATCTACCTCCTGAAGCAACAAGCGGTCTAGCTTGGTAAGTTTTTGATTTGTACCTGTCTTTTTTCCATGTGTTTTTCTGCGTAGGGTGAGTTGACAATGCTGCCACACCAGCGAGCTTATAGTTCCCCATCAGCTTTCCACAATTATTCCCAAGGATCGACATCATCATCTAGTGGAGCTTCAACATCTAGATATGTTCAAGCTGACCCTCAAGGAAGGCTGCCATGTGAGCCACAAGTATAACATGACCCCATGCACTCTTCATTTTTTTTTCTTTAGATTTGTTTAACTCATTTTTGTTTCACTATGCTAGACTCTCTCACTGCTTGTGGCTGCAGTGCACACCTATGCTGATAACAATCGGCAATTCTTATCTTGTCGTCGTGGACGTTGTGGCAGTCAATCCAAAGTCATTGGTGGGATGTCATTTACGACACCCTTGGTCCCCTGGCCGTTCACCACAGTTCTTGTCACCAAGTGGAGCAATCCCGAAGACTTGGCATGTACACTTGTATGGGCGGAAAAGAGAGCCATTTGTGAAGGTGATAGAACTTGACGAGCTAGTAGTGGACCTCCTAGAGTGTCTCATATAGGGTGGCTTATACTTCAATATTCCTTTCCAACCCGGCACGGCCTAACATGCGATTCTACTATCACTCCAAGCCTCAGGAATCCAACCTTCATCCATGACCAACCCAAGAGTATTTGTCCGGCGTGCAAGGCAATTCAATGGTGGTGAGGCCCATGTCAAGTCTGCAAAGTTTGGCCTCAGCTCTATCCAGCCTTGCTACTGGCCTCCTCAAACATCATGGGGAGCTATTGCAAACAAGGTGTGAGACACAAAATCCCTAGGCCCCAAAGTGGAGCCGAAAGGGTGCCATGTGGTAGTGGCCGAAGCAAAAACCAAACGAGTATAACACGTTTGGACTAAAAGTTTCAACTTGAAAGGTCAAGAGCAAGAGTGGAACTCCCAACGAAGTGCTCGAGGAACAAGCACGAAGTGAGAGATAAGTGAGTCTCTGGAAAAGGGACCCAAGATGGACCCGAGATTGAGTCCGAGATGGATCCGAGATGAAGTCTGAGATGGATCTGAGATGGACCCGAGATAGAGTTCGAGATGGAGTTTGAGGTGGAGTCCGAGGTGGATCTGAGATGGAACCAAGATGGACTCGAGATGGAGTCCGAGATGGACCCAAGATGGAGTCTGAGATGGACCCGAGATGGACTCGAGATTGAGTCCGAGACGGACCCGAGATGGAGTCTGAGACGGACCCAAGATGGAGTCTGAGATGGACCTGAGATGGACCTGAGATGGACCTGAGATGGACCCCAGATGGAGTCCGAGATGGACCTGAGATGGAGTCCAAGATTGGACCCGAGGTGGAGTCTGAGATGGAACCCGAGGTGGAGTCCGAGATGGAGTCCAAGATGGAACCGAGACCGGGACCGAGACTGGGACCGAGACCGAGACCGAGACCGAGACC